CGCCGAGCCCGCCGAGCCCGTGGAACGCGGCGAACGCTTGCCGTTTGGCAAGCCGCTCACGTCCCGTTTGTGGCCCTTCGATTTGAAGCGTTTGGGAAAAGCTTAAAGTAAACCCGTCCCAGTATTAGGGGGGTGTTCCCTTCAAAAGTGATGACTCCGCACTAAAAGGGGACACCCCCCTATGAAGGGAAAGCTTACCCTCTCTCCCACCTCCAAGAGGAAACTTATCTTCCAGGTGCCTCCCCACAGGTGCCATGTTAGTGGGAGAGAGGGTAGTGGCAAGAAGCTCAGGCGCTTTTTGTGCTGCTCAGAAAGTGAGCTTGGGGCCCTCAAAGCGGCAAACACCTCGTCAACTCGATGTGTTTGGTCCTTTACCATCAATTGGGCGTGTTTTTTTTGCAGGGCGCCCTCCCTTTTTGCTTTCCGGTTTCGAAATGGTTATTTTTCCTCAAAGGGGCGATGGCTTTCTTACTTTGTCCAGACCCTCCATTTGGCGTGTTGTGTAAGCCATCAGCGCACCGGCCAGCAAGAAGTCAGAGAGGGCCCGGGTGACTTCGAGCAATGTGATATAGGTATGGGTCAAAATTAAACCACCAGGAATTGGACCGCAGGTTTTAGTCCTTGGTTCCATTTGTCAGGGTTCCATTTTGGGCACCTATTTTTCCAATGGGATCCCATTTTGGGGGTAGGTGAATTCACCACCCGTTTTAGTCTATTTTAGTGGTTGGATTGAATCGGATGTTCACTGTAACTAATCGATTTGGCTTTTGATCCATGGTGGAAATCAGCCATGCTCACTCATGAGTAAGGTCCCTAACTTGGGGTTTGGGCTCCTGAAAAGAAATTCATTTTGCCACCATGGCAAATGGATGTTCATCCACCCCAAAAATGGAGTCTTGGGTTATGCAACCCATGGCCTATGAGTATTGCCACCATGTGAAACATGTGGCTTTGTCAACACCGCAATAAAGGGGAACCACCATTTACAGGTTGCAATGTTCAGGTGTTTCTATTGTATGGATCCCCTACTTGGGGGTTTCGGGACTAGAACAAAAAGTCGCGTTGACGAGAATGAACCACCATTTCACCATGTCATGGGTCTTGAAGAAAATTGGTGTGCGCTCGTTGGGGTAACCCCTTCATTCGGACTCAAATATGGGGCACATGGGTACTCACAGTGTATGTGTATAGTCATGGCACATTTGTTGCTTTTTGCAGTCCCCCTGCAACCCCATTCTACGTATTTAGCCCCTTTTTTAGCTGGAGGCATTCGCGTTTCCAATGTGTCCACAGCAGGCTGCGGCCATTTGGCACCAATCCGTGCGAGTAGTCCGGGGCCCAGCCCAGACACGGAGAAAGCAACAAAGTTTCGCCTTTGGGTTGTGCGACCCCTGCAAGAGAAAGAACTCTGATACCTTTGGGTGTTGCTGCAATGCAAATTGTCTTGCTGATGCTCAGCAGGGAATGATGAATGGAATGTAGTGCCCTTGACTTCCCTTTTTTGGTTGGGAGGGTTCCCCTGCTAAAATACAGAAACAATTGGGTACCCTTATGCTAGCCTCTCTCTTCTGGAGGACCTAGTTGATTGTGCCAAGAGGCCAATGCGCGACCGCGGTTTTTCGAGGGTAACTTCCATTTCCATTTTTAACCCAGGGATCCTTCTTTCTAGAAAACCACCAAAAGCCCGGGGGAAATGGCGATCGGTTTTTGAAAAGAACGATGGCTGAAAAGAATGGTTGGAATCAACCCCTAGAGTTTTCACACGGGATCCTAAGAAAATGGAAATGTTGAACTCTCAGGATGCCCCGGTGTGCCAGATTTCCGCTTTTTGGGTCGTCCGGAGCACCATGTGCTTTGGCAAAGTTGTGTCAACCACTTTGCCTGCCCAAAGGCCAGCCCTAAGAGACCTCAGCCATGAACATGGATGTCTTCACCTTAGCTCTTCCCATTTTTGCCCTCTTGGCCATTGCTGCAGTTTGCGCTTAGCGCTCCAAACACTCTGGAGTCGGGCACCGAAAAGCGCGCAAACCAAACCACAGAACAAAACAGTGCTTCCAACAAAGGTGGCAGGCTCCCGCCAAAATGCGACATCCCCCTTCAACCAGCGGTTTATGTATGGACTCAATGGACTCCTATTGCATCTGTGAGTACGGAGAGTCGTGAAGTTTTGTTTATATTTGCTTATCACCCTGGTAGCGAACAAGTTTCGCGCTCAGCTTTCGGGATTCGCATCATCTTGCAAACGCGCTCCCTCTTTGGGTTTGTGTTTTTGTTTCTGGTGCCCCTTTTTGGCTTGTTTCGCAAGGAGACCAGAGGACATTGAAGCTGGTATTTTTTGGGAGGGTACCCGCATTTTGTGACAACCCCAGAGGAAGTCTATGGTTCATTTGGGGGTGGGGGAACCTCCACATCACTCCCCATGACAAAGGCGTGGACAAAACGCAGCGGGACGACTGGAGGGAACGGAGGAAGTTATTTCCAACAGAAAAGGAAGACGGATTTGCCACCTGTCCCATATGAGTGTATCTTGTGACTTTACAGGGATAGCAAAAGGAACAACACCTTTCGTTTGGCTCCCCTCTAAAGACCAACACACCCATACCCATGCCCATGGCTGAGAATTGGCACTTCTGGCTAGACTTGGGGAAGACATGGGGATAACCCGAAGTTAAGCAACGTTGGGCAATCGTTCATATGTTCAGTCCATCGCTCATTTTCCCACCGCCCAAAACCCTCAACCATTTTAGAAAGGACGGCTTGCACGGTGGTTTGTTTTTGCGGGTTTTCCGTTTTTTTTGTTCAAAGGGAAGCCAACGGGACATCGCCATCTGTTCTTTTTTTTCTTGGGAGGGGGGGTGGGGTGGGGTGGTCCGATTTCTTGGCCCAGGTCTGTGTGACGTACCTCTTCGTTTTGATGATGAAGTTCTTCAAGCGCCTGGGAGAAAGTGGCGGGAATTCTAGAAGAAGCGGTTTGGAGGTCGTTTGTGGATTTCACAGGTTTCTTTTGAACCTGTTGCTAGCTTCTTTTTTTGAAGTAGTCTTTCAGTACTAGTTTAATATCCTACAAGGGTGGATGCACAGATTTGCCACGTCCAAACCGTTTCCAGACTAATTGGGTAGGGCCACTTGTTTGTGATACCAAGTCTTTTCACATTGGTGTTAAGGATGTCGTCTAATAACTTGGCTAGCACAGGCAGGTTTTCTATACCCAATTGGAGGACACGCCTATATGTGCCGTAGTTTGAACACCTTGCTCGGCTTGGGTTTGCGAGTGACACGCATTGCAACCAAAGCTCCAGTGACGCGGGCCTCCATTCAAAGTCAGCTATCGAACAAGGCTAGCCTTTATTCGAATGGGGGTTTGTTTCCAACCATTCGTTTCAACCATCCTTTTCAAGAAGCCGTTGCCCCGGGGTTCTTGGTGGTTTTATCTGGAAAGAGGGAAGCCTGGGTTAAGAATGGGGAAGCTACCCCCTAGATTCGCTTCCCATGTCCACTGGAGGTAGAGCTGCGAAAGGAATCATGCCGACCCGAGGAACTGGCCTTGGAGCAAGGGCAGAAGGCGATCCAATCTTTGGTGCATTTTGCTTGGATGTTAGGACTTTAACCTTTTGCCAACTAATGGGTTTTCCATTAAACCACTAAGAGTTAAACTTTCAGCAGGGGAGCAGAAAGCAACCGAGCAATGGCCTTTGCGTTGCCCTTTTGGGTTGACCGATATCAAGGTGGGCGGTAGGCGCAGATTCGCACCTGGAGAGGTCCCAAAAGGGGCGCCCATGTTTGACAACAGATGTGTTCGCCATGATTAGCCTGGTGCAACTTCCCACGTGAAGCTTTTCGTCGCTCTCTCTCTCTCTCTCTATCTCTCTCTCTCTCTCTCTCTCTCTCTCTTTGTCCCTCGCCCAAAACCAAGTCCAGATGAATCAGAGCTGTTTCTTTTTGAACGTTTCGGCCATGATGTATGTCTTGTTAGTGTGTTCAGTGCCAGCCGAGGGCCAAAGAGCCCCTGCGACGGGGCAATCCTCTTATAGGTTTCACTTCCCCAGAACTTTGGATCCGAATCCTTTCGCCATGAACCTCTGGTTTGTTTGGCCCTTGTTGATTACCCCTGAGCTCGCTGAGGAAGAAGCCCACACAACCAAAAAGCGTTTTTGGGGACCTTTTCTTGGCAGGGCTGTAGACCAAGGTCCTTCAAGGCGAACGCGCTCTTGAACGTGGTCATTAGCACGCTGGCGGGGTCAGTCAAAGACGTGTCCCACTTCGCCATTGTGTTCCTGACCATCTTCCTTTGCGCCTTGGAACGATTGGATCCCGGTCTTCAAATAATATTATATATATATATATATATATATTTATTGTAAACGCTTCGCGTTGCCCGCCTCGGCCCAGCCTAGTTTGAGGGAAGGGTCAGGAACACCGAAATCCAGTGTTGGGAAGGTCCGAATACCTGAAGCTGGCTCCAGACAAGTCAGACAAGCCGGCCTCGCCTGGTTGGGCTGGGCCACAGGCTAGTCTCAGACACATCAGATAAGCCTGCGCTGGGCCTGAAGCTAGTCTCGGGCAGCTTGGCTGGACCTTGCTTGCGTGGGTTGTTGGTTGAGCTGGGCCTGAAGCTAGTTTACGGCGGGCTGGGCAGCCGCACTGAGGGGGCTGGGCTATGGCTGGGCTGGGCCTGAGGCCAGTTTCAGACACATCAGACAGGCCTGGCCAGCAGGCGGCTGGGCTGGGCTAGACGCTAGTTGAGCCCAGGCTGGTGAGGCCCAGTCTCGGCGCCAGATAGGCTGAGGCCTGCGAGTCTCAAACAGGGTGGGCTTGGGTGGGGTTGGCTTAGGCGGGTTGCTGGTTGGGCTGGGCCTAAGCTAGTCTCAGCCACGAGGCTGCGAAGCCATGGGTGGGCTGGCTGCTGGGCAGCCGGACTACGCTGTTGGTCGCGCCTGGAACTTCGGCTGGGCGGGCTGGGCTGAGCTGTGCTTGGGCGGGTCGCTGGCTGGCTGGGCTGG